AGTTTGCTTTTCTGTGAAAATGAACTAAAGCAGATCATCTATCTATCTATCTATATAAATAAAAATGTAATGTTCGTTTGTTCCTACCGATTCCTTTGAAATTTTGACACAACGCTGCATTCGAATACGAACGTGTTTTTATATAATATACGTGTCGAAATTCCCCCCACTGAAGGGAGATGGTTAGGATTAATTAAGGCTTACCGTAAAGAACTTGGCTTCTATTATACTATTTTAGATGCGGTTTTTTGTGTTTTTGATTGCGTTTTAATAGGGTACGTCAACAGAATATACACTAAGAAGAAATTTTTCGAAAAATTTTCCCCCACGGGGGAAGTGTTATACATTTATAATAGATACATTTTGAGCCACAACAACGTGTGGCGGGGTCTGCTAGTAAGGAATAATTTGGAGTTCTACATATGAATTATTTCGGTAGACTATAACTACAGAACATAAATTATGGGCAATTAATTTTTAGGCAAATTATATAACTTGTCATCTCTTTACATATCAGTTAGAAATCTGTAAACATCATATGACTGTAAGAAATGCTGTTGTCGAAGAAAACACTTCAAATTATATTAACTCTTGAATGTTCTGGATGTGTGTATATAGCACTAAAAGTTAATATATTTTCGTAATTAAATTAAATATGGAAATAGCCTAGTTAGTGACACTGAAAAGACTTATGGGAATCAATCAAAATTTTTTCTTTTTGCATAAAGGAGATTAGGAAGGACGTATTTATATTCATATTTCTCAACTGTTTGTGGTTCCAGTGGACAGTATGTCATTTCGCTCTGCCTGCCTCTGTGGCAGCCTGGAGGATGTGCTGGCCATTCCAATATATTTGTTGGAACAGTGGATGTTTTGTCCAAATATAAGAAATGTTAAAGATAAACAAATGTCAAAGAGCAGAAGTAAATGTTACATAGAAAATGAGTTCAATTCATGAAAATGCTTCATAAAATTAGAATTTCTTAAGATAGTAAATTTGCAATATTTTAAAGCGAAGTATTAGAAGAAAAGGTTCTTCAGTGGATCTGTGAGCAGTGAGAGAAAAATAACCATGTTTCCAGATGGATGATGATGGACAAGGGAAGAGAAATCTTCACCCAGTTAGATGAAAGTAATGAAGAAAATGTAGTATTTATATAGCAGAGGGTAGCCAGAAAAATTCATGAAACATAACCATGACCACAAGATGAAAGACATCACTTATGTGCAAAAAAGATACTCAGGCTCTATTCAATATGATAGTGTATATAATGACTATTTCTAATGTGCAAGAAGAAGAAAAGCACACAGTCACTCAGAAATCATACCTACAGATGAAACATTGGTGTGTTTTAATTTGCATGGAAGTACCATGATCACAACAACTAGTTGCAAAAGCATTCCTATCAAGAAAACAGGTCATGAAAAAGATCATTTTACTGTTGTTTTAGCTGCAAAAGGCAATGGAATTAAATTGAAACCTTTCATCCTATTTCAGAAAGTATGCAAACTGGAGAAGCACAGCTTGTAATCTACATCAATGATGACAAAGAAGATGAATGCTATGATGACTTCAATTGAATTGCAGATATTAATGTTGTAATAACTTTATGCTTACTGTAGTAATGCTTGTATATAGTAGTGTGCTTTTCTGTTGAATAAAAAGAATTAAATAAAAAGGAATTCTTAAGAATTACCCACAGTTTTTGTTATTTGGGAGAGAAAATGAGCGAGAAACCATGGAAATAGTAATAGAAAGAAGATTGAAGCATATTTTCTCCTTTTTTTATCACTAGTTTTGATACAAAATTCTGCAAGAATGGAACAGATGCCAGGTCTCTTATATACTTTGGGAGCTAAATATATTCTGTATTTATGGTATGTATACATTCTATCTTCAAAACAAAAATGTTAAATATCTCATGTCAAGTGTCAATTTTTTTGATAAAAATAGTGAGATGTAATGTAATTTTTAGTTTTAAAATATAAATGAATAAAAATAAAATATATATAAATAAGGTCAACCATCAATTTTCTGGCATTCTAGATTACAAAGCCTCATCATATACAAATTAATGGTTTTCAGATGAATTGAGATCACAGAAATAACAGTACATCCTGCACTAGAATTCATGCCTCTAAACTGCTTGAAATATATATAAAATATGGATTGATGTTTTACTCTTGATACCACTGATACTTATCTTTTTTTTAAAAAAAAATTGTAGCTAAGGTTAAATGTAAATAAAGTGAACTAAAAATTGAAGAGAATAAAAGGGATAAATAACTACAAAATAGACAATTCAAAAAGAATGTGTAGCTACTATACTCAATATCAGATGTAACTATTTAGTGAACATGTCTTCCCTGGTGTTGGCAAATTTTAAGTGCCCACTTGCAAATCTTTCTAGATTAAAAGATGTACAGGAAATATTAAAAATAATACATTATGATATATAACTTATTATAAAGTTCTTAAAAAGCAGTACAATATTGTCAAATGTAATATATTTCAGAACCTAATCTTTACTGTATTTTCAGTAATAACAAACTATTGTACAGTAAGACCCCATTTAATGCAGGGGATGTGTTCCTAGACGACAAAGTGCTAAATGAAACAGCATTAAACGAGGTCATTTTAACAGAGTAAATAGGGATAGGAGAACATGTGACCGAAAATTTAAAAAATTTACTTTAATTATAAGTTAATTTTATATTAATTTGTATAATAATATATGTTAAATAACACATAAACATATGCACACAGAAATGTATAATAATATATTAATTAATTCATTTTTTCTATATTAATAGTTCATTTTTTTGTGACGAAAGTCCTGACTTTTCTGTTTTTTTGTAATGAAGTCGTGACATTTCATTTATCGCTTTTTTCTTTCTTTAAGCAAATGTCGGTAGCAGAAGATCGCATCCAAAATGCTTCGTTTTGCTTTTGTGCTCCTTTCAAAATCTGGCTCATTCACTGCAATTTGATCAACGATTTCAGTTATCGTTACCAAATTTTTACTAAGGAAATCTGTAGAGAAATTTTTTGGGTTCTTCATTTTCAGAATCACTATTATCCAGTTCTACATGGATTCCATGTTCTACCAGTTCTTGAAGGTTGTCGTTGATAAGCCTCTCACCAGAAACCTGCGGTAACTCCTCAATATCCAGTTTGCCCAAATCTCCTAGTCCTGCTGTATCGATTAGGTTGAGTTTGATCAACTTAACGATACAGTGATAGACTCTTCTTGTTGAGAATTCATGGATACCTTCAGCCATAACTTCTTCCACACTTTGTTCGTGCATTTATCAGTTAATTCTTGCCAAGCGAAGCCGATATTGCCTATGGCATCCATGATGTTATATTTTTTCCAAAGTTGCACCAAACAAGCATAGATTTAAAGAAAGTACATCTTTTTGCCACCTTTTTCTGATGGGTTATGTTCATAAATGTAAATAACCGTATTATGTACGAATCAATAAAATGCCACAATAATTTAAATCAGTGTAAATTTTGAGCTTGTTTTTAGGCTTTGAGCAGATGGCATTATATTGAATCAGCATTAAGCAGTGTCTTACTGTACTTTCAGTATTGATGTTATAATTCAAGAGCAATGATGATCACATTGCACATTCAGATATCTTGCTACATATAAATTTATGAAGATTAGCATTCAATTTAGACCTGTGTGCAGGATTTTTAAATGGGTAAGGCTTTAAAAACATATTTTTGTTTCATAATGTAATTTATTAATTTTTACAATATACTGTAAATATATAGTGTAACACAAAACAGTAGACTAAGGAGTACAAAACAATTATGTTAAAATAAACATTATATTGTTTTATTCATTTTTTTAAATTTGGGAGGTTAAACTCCTTGTGTACAGTACATGGCCTTGACCCAATATGCTTACATGTAGGTATGATGTTATAAATGTTACTTGCATTTCCCATTATCATTAGATTGAAACTTTGATATTACCAAAAGTAGTCAACTCTATGTCCTAGGTGGGCTGCAATTTAAAAATTGCAGCCCACCTAGGACATAGAGTTGACTATACATTTGCACTATACATTATGCATTACATTTGCACTGTTGTCCATCTGCCTGCTGTCTGTTTATCCTTCATTAATCATGAGAACAGAGTTAGATGAAAATCAAGACCAGATATGAAAAGCTTAGGGGCCAAGAGACCCTGAAAAACTATATATTCAGTTTGGACTGGAAGCCATGTGAATTTTTTTTTAAATTAAATGTTGATTAAGAATTGCAGCTTAGTATTGTACCATTGTCAAAATAAATAATTTAATTATAGTAATATATCCATGCCTTGAAAAGCTAATAATGTACACAAAAATTAAAAATTCTCCTATTTTTAATTTTTATGAAATAAATACTACTATAAGTGTAGATTCTAAAGTTTATACAGAGTATAAGTTTATATTTAACTATAATATAATATATAATACATTTAACTATAAAGTTAAATTTATAAACTTGTTTTAAAAGCAACATACAGTAGAACCCCTCGAATTCGTCACCTTTGGGACTAGGGGTATGGTCGGAACGCAAAAAAGGTCGGATTATCAGAAAAAAGTAAAATAAACAATCTTCCCCTTTGTCCAGTCTTTGTAGCACTGCTAATTTTTTATTTAATGAAAGAGTAATGTATTTATGTTTCACTCCTGACATGTTGAAAACACACACAAAACTGTACATGTACACACAATGTAAAACATATACTGTAACGAACACAGAAAAATGCCACGGATGGTGAGTCACCGACGAGTCGGGACAAGTTTCTCGACTCCGACCATGGTCACGGACTATCCGAGGGCGGACTAGAGGGGTTCTACTGTATATGATTTGTTTTATAAAATTTTTGAATATCATACTAAGTTTATATATAAGCTGTATTTCTATGCTATGTTATATTTTGTATTTTACGTATTTTTTAATTGCTTTCTTATTAAGGTATTTGTTTTTTAACTAGAAAATTTGCCAGAATGTTTGAGGAAAGCTGTATTTTGGGTGAGAAGTACAAAAGATGAAGAAAATGAAAGACGATTAGAAGGTAAAGTATACTTTATTATGGATTTAGTAAATATAATTACTGTATATGCAAAGTTGTTGAGAAGAGGGAGTTGGGGATTTTTCCCAGGCCTAGAGAAAACTTAGGCATCTGTAGGAGTTCCCCCTATAAATTATTGCTATTTTACTAGTAAAAAATAAAATCTTTAAGACTATTTTTTTATTAATAAAGAAACATTCTACATAAGAACATTCTAAAATAAGAAGCTTTAATATAATTATAGTAAGGCATAGCTTTATAAGCAAATATTCAAAAGTGAAAATTTGCCTATCAAACTGTACTTAGAGAATCCCTCTTTGAATCAAAAATTATTTATTTCAAAGAGGAATTTTCTGGAGACACTGTCATAACACTGTCATAATATTTCCTCATATATTGTGCTTAGAGCTATTTTTTCTTACCAACTTTCAGTTAGTTATTGACTATTGTTTATCAATCTGGGCATCCAAGCTTCTAGTCTTCTACAGTTGCTTACTACTGAACTTAAAATAAATTTACCATCTTTTTACTAAACTTTTCAATCTGCTTTAGACCCATTCTGGTGTGATCACTAGACTTAGACTAGGAACATCTTTATTTCATCACATTGAATTTTTGACAGGATTTTGTTTTATAAATTTTTTTATGGTCTGTTGTTTCATCGATAATTTAGTCTTAAGAACAAGAAATAAATCATGCCTTTCCATTTCTAATTGTAAGCTTAATGTATCAAGAACTTTTTCAGAGATGCACCCTGTTGAACATCTTTTTATACCATGATATACATTATATTAAGCACCATTGTAAACATTTGGCTTATGGCATCTGTAGTTAAAACTTTTCTTTTATTTTTTTAATCATCTTTATCACTCTTTTTACATTTTGTATTTTATATTTACCAATAATTTTAGTATTTAGTGCATTCTCAGCTTTTAGAATGTTATTTAATTCTATTCTTTTTATATTTTATGTTCCTTTTATCCGATTTTTATATTTTGGAATGTTTTATCTTCCTTTGTATTATGTGTGTTTCTTTTTTTATTTCATTATGTCTATATTTTTATGTTGGAATCAACGATTGAAGTTATTGTTAAATATTATATGACATTGATACGTACAATTAACTACATTAAGTACAAATCACTACGTTCATTGTGTCGTAGTGATGTTTGTAAATATTTTTTGTTACATAATAAAAGATTGATGGCGCTATTGACCCCTCAGGGAACCATTGGTGATGGTGACCTTGTTTTACTGTCCCCTTTTTTCAATGTTGACCTTTCTTGAGTCAAATCAGCAATATCTTTTGTGTAATCTTTGTTCCTTTGTCACATAACCAGTTATGTGAGTCTAATCAGTTTTCCTATCCCCAAAAAGCAACATACATTTTAACATTTTATTTGTTCACTTATTACTTCTTATAATTGTTTTTATCTAGGGGACCTTTTTTATATGTTGTGTGTTATGTTTTAGGACAATAATCTCTAGTCTATATGGACTTTACTGTTTGTGTTCAAAAATAAATAAATAAATTATTACTTCATCAGGGTCTATCTGAATAAATATTGGGATGATGGATGACAACTAGGAAGAAAAATTTCTAATTGTTTGATTTTGAGTAGCTATACAAAATAAGGTGTGTTTGTTGGATACAGTAATCATTTGTACTTTTAATTTTTATAGTATGGTATAAAGTAAGAATACATTGAGAAGGGGACAATTTGCTGATAGAAAAATGTTGTGGGCTGTTTTCTTTGTCTCATTTGGATCTATGCCATGTAACTGTGATTTATTACATTTAATCCGTCATATACAGTATCTATCAAATTTACCATATTGTTATATTCGTGGAAATAACGATAACTCGTAAACGTATATAACTAGCTTTATTAACATAAACGTAACAATGAGTGAACAACGTATCGTCCTGTCCAGGTCTAGGGGTTACAAACAACTAAAGACAACTTGTTGAGACAAAGAACATACACGAGGTCGGAGGTGTGGGGTGACCTAAGTAGGTCAAGGGGCGATTCCCGGTAGCGGTCATCCCCTGGCGGTTTGCATACATAACACATATATTACAATTATGATTTAAAATATTAAAAATCTAGCATATTGAATTAGTTCATAATAATCATAGTAAGTTAAATTAAGTAAGTGACTTTTCTAATTAGATTAAAATTATAAAGCTAATTAAAATGTTGTCAAAAATTACAAACAATAACAAATTTATTTTAATCAGTATATGTTTGCATTACATAATTTTTCATTTTTCACATTTGATATTGTATTATTCTTTAAATTCTATTCAGTACATTAATAAATTACTATCATCAAATGTTAATAATTCAATAATTCACAAATTACTAATAAATATTTTACTTTCTGCCATAAATTTAAAGTGGTTTTTTGTTCTGTCAGTTTTATTTTCCAATATAATTACAATCAATTTTTGCATCTGCAATATTTCTTTGCAGACATAACATAAAGAAGGCATGTTATCCAACAAATTTTTAAAAATTTTATCAATGTATTTAAATATGAAACCTTAACTACAATTGTAGAAGTTGTAAACTGATTATTATTAATGATATTTGTAATTGAAGTTGATTTAATTATGGTAATTGTATAATTTAATGTGTTTTTTAAGAAATTAGATATAAAAACAGAGATTAAGTAAATAATTAAATTTCTTTAAAATAAAAATTTAAACTATTAAATTTATTTGCTGTCAGAAATCAATTTAATATAATTTTTAATAGTAAAAAAGTAATTCTCTTAATTCTTATAATATTGATTTGAAAGAAATATGTTTTGTTGTATTTTATGAGTACAACAAAACATATTTTTTTTGTGATATCAATATTGTATACTGTAGTACAAAAATTAAAAACTGGAATTATTAATAATAAAAGCTTTCTTATAATATAGAAGCAATTGAAAGAAGATTACTTAAAGACATAGATGAGTTAAAGTTGAAAGGATCTTGGGAATTTACTCAAAAAGATAATCCTATTGCTTCATTTGTACCTGATATTGTCATTAAATATATTCAGCAGGAACGTTTCATAAAATTACCATTCAGAACTAAATTTTATGGTATTGCTTTATTTGCTGATATATCAGGTATGGCTAATTCATCATTTTTTTCAAATTAATATTATTTCTAAAGTTATTTTTGGTCATCATTAAATTTCAAATGATATAGATCATAAATGATAACAGCATAGTGTAGTTTTTTGCTACTATGGTAAATTAATTGTATTAAATTTGTAAAATTATGTAAAACGCGTTTGTTTATTAAGGAAAATTGTATCAGATTTTTTTGTTAAGCGTAATGTTCTGTCATGCATTCCATGTCACATTTTTGGGTCACAGCAGCTGTAGTAGGAGATTGGCTAAGAAGCTGATCATGTGATTGGACAAGTTTCCAGATGGCACGACGTATAAAAGTGCATGTCCCATATGGAGGAGCACCTTTTTTTTGTTTTTGTTTTTTGTTTTTTTTGGATTCTTCAGATCGGACTGGACTCTCGAGCCCGCACCCAAACTGAAGGTGAGATAAGGTCACAGTGATGATATACCAGAAGTGATAGGATATTGGACTGCTGTGTGCAAAGGACCAAACCCATCGAGTAGAATTTTATATCCTATTGTCGAATACTTCATGTAAGAACGCACCTAGGAATCAGTTTACTCAGCTTTCATTCATTTCATTGCTTGTGAGGTTATTTTCTTTGTTAATCAAACCAAGTGACGACCCATGTTGGATGACAAAGAGCATCGAACTCAGATAAGAAATGTACTAAAGTAAAATGCTTAATCGGTCTGATATATCAACATGTAAATAATTGTATATATTTGAAATAATCATGTAATAGTAGTATTATCATTTGACTTAGCATTACCTATGTAAGTAGAGGATAATATCAAGACAACTGTATAGCTGATAAGAAATTAGTTGTTTTTATTGAGCCTAATTGTTATTTTGTTTTTTCTTTCATTAATATAAAATATTTGTTCCATCAATATGTCTCTTTTAATTGTGAAGTCCTCAATTCGTCATCCCACAAAAAGACTACATATATTTCAATATATCTACTACTATGCATATGTAGCTAGAACTATTTCTAAGACTAACAGCACAAAACCTTTCTCACTAATTTCTAGCCTTATTAACTGGAGTACAAACGTTTTCGGCCTTCTTAATAGGCCTTCCTCGGGTACACTGTGGAGCGTCGGTTAGAAGAAGTTTAAATGCTGCCAATGTTTACCCAGGTGTCGTCTTACCCGTGACGTCTTCGTCGATGATAGGTATACGATACCGAGGGAGAAAAACTACATACTTTTGGTAAAGAAGGGAGGTGTGCAGATAGGATACTTGCTAAAGTTGGGGAAAAAAGATTTTAGAGTAAGCGCGCTACGTACAGGAGATGCACAATCACCACAGGGGGTTAGTGGGGAGTGACGTCATAGTTGAGGCCGTAAATACCTGCATCTAAGGAAGGCCATAAACACTTGCATCTAAGGAACGCGACCATGCAATCACCCGAGATACCAAGGCTATTCGGCTATGCTAAAACCCATAAACCAGGCACGCAAATCCGGCCGATTGTTGACAAATCAAGATCTCCAACCCTACCTATTGAGAAGGGTCTACATGAGCTCCTTAAAGGCCATTTGAAAGATTATAACTACGCCGTTTCGAACACGCGGGAACTCATCACTAAATTGCAGAATATCGCTCTGAAGGATCAGGAATTTATTACAGTTCTCGACTTTGAAGCTATGTATCCTTCCATTAAATTGGAACCGTGCTTCTGTGCCCTTAGAGATTTCCTTTTCCAAGCCTCTCCACCTGGATACCACAAGCAGGTGTTGGAGCTGGCCCACCTTATGTGCTACACCTCATTCTTCACCTTCAACCAACGAATCTATCTTCAAGAAAGGGGAGTACCTATGGGTAGCCCCCTCTCTGGAGACCTCTGCGAATTAATTGTAAGAAAACTGGATAACCAAGTATTACAGTCCTTCAACGCGGAAATCGTTCTCTATACGCGCTATGTTGATGACATTCTTATCATTTGGAAGTCCAAGCCGGATCTGAACACCGTTCTTCAGATTGTGAACAACAACCCTTTTGGACTTAAGCTTAAATTAGACCAGCAGGATGACAGGATGGCCCACTTCCTGGACCTCAATATCCTCTTGGATCATGGCTGCATAGCTACTAGTGTGTTCCATAAGCCTAATCTTCAATCTTTCTTTATCCCTGCAACCTCGAATGACCCCTTTACTTACAAAATGTCCGCTTTCAGGGCTCTTATCCGCAGAGCTTTTACCCATTGCTCTAGCATTAACGACGCGCTACGAGAAATCCAACGCATCAAGCGCATCGCCACAGCCCACGGTTTCAGCAGTAAGTTTATCGATAGGCTTGCGCAAAAAACTCATAGATGCTTAACAACCGGAGATGCCACTTCTAAACCTCTAAAGCAACAAGGTAAGCGCATTACCGTCGATTTTGACCCTAGAATGAGCCAGGCCTATAACTTCATAGCAAAAAAGGTCAACGCTACTCTCGCATACAGACGCAACCCTACGATTTATAAACTTCTAGCTAACACCAAGGACAAATGCAGCGAAGCCAGGAGACCAGGAGTCTACACCGTCCCTTTGGAGGACGGCAGATCTAACCCGTGCAAGAAGCTAACATACATTGGCTCAACCAATAGATCGCTTAGAAGGAGGATAACTGAGCACAAGTACGACGCATACAACAAAAAATTCACTTCCACCCTTGCCCAGTTTGCAAGCGAACCTGGTATAACGACCAAATGGGAAGAGGCGAGGATTACTATTCCTATGCACGACCACACCAAGCTTAGAACAGTCGAAACAATCGAAATATTTAAGCAATCCCTCAAAGACGGTTGTATCAACAGCAGAGATGCGGACTCGCTCTCCTCCGCTTGGAAATCATTCTTCGACAACCCCTTGAAATAAATAGACCATCCCACCCTCAACGCGTGCAACCGTTAGCGCTTTTTACTTGTCGCGTTTATTTCCAATTCTACCTTATAAGCGTAACCCCCCCTTCCCATCCCCTTCTAATCGTAACACCCCCTTACCATCCACGGTCGTTCGCACGCCTCTTCTTACGGTAGCGTTGAATATTTACGGCCTCAACTATGACGTCACTCCCCACTAACCCCCTGTGGTGATTGTGCATCTCCTGTACGTAGCGCGCTTACTCTAAAATCTTTTTCCCCAACTTTAGCAAGTATCCTATCTGCACACCTCCCTTCTTTACCAAAAGTATGTAGTTTTTCTCCCTCGGTATCGTATACCTATCATCGACGAAGACGTCACGGGTAAGACGACACCTGGGTAAACATTGGCAGCATTTAAACTTCTTCTAACCGACGCTCCACAGTGTACCCGAGGAAGGCCTATTAAGAAGGCCGAAAACGTTTGTACTCCAGTTAATAAGGCTAGAAATTAGTGAGAAAGGTTTTGTGCTGTTAGTCAATATATCTAAGTCACTATTAGATTATAACTCATGTTTCAACACTTACAATTACCAATCTAAAAAGAAACATCAAATTTAAAATATATCATATGATATGCATTTTTTATTTGGAATATTTTATTTTTGTGTTTGTAAATATGAATAGGGTACATAATTATTACTTTTTGCTGCTGCCTATCTTTTCTTATACTACATTAATAATAATAGTAATTTATGGGTGCGTTTACTTCTGAGTTAGCAGTGCTAATTCTGATAACCGGATGTGACGTCATTAGCACGTGTATTCGTGTTTGCTTGTCCAATTCGAAAGTGAACACATACGCTAACAAGAAATATGGCTGGAAACCGCCATATTTCTTGTTAGCGTATGTGTTCACTTTCGAATTGGACAAGCAAGCACGAATACACGTGCTAATGACGTCACATCCGGTTATCAGAATTAGCACTGCTAACTCAGAAGTAAACGCACCCTATATAAGTGTTCTTTAACTTGTAAGCAATGTATTTATTCTATAAAACTTGTTATATATATATATACATATATACATATATATAATAAATTTAATAAAATAAAATATAATAAAATAAATAAATAATTAGCGGATGTTTTATATATATATATAAAATTCAAATGAACCAGATTATCAGGCTAATTTTATTTATTAAATAAACAGTAATTTGACTAGAAATAGGCAGTTAGGCCACCATTTCTTGATGCTTGATAAACTTAATAATTATAAATAAATAAATTTTTAAATTTTATTTAGAAAGTCCTAGAAGAAAAGAATTGACCTGGAGACTTGAACCCACAACTCCAACTTACCATGTGGATATATTGACAGTTATACCACCCAATCTTTGCCTCAAGAACTATTAATAATTCAGGTATAACCATAGGTTACTTACACTTGTTACTTACAGCATCAACATGGTACTGTACCTAAATTATTAATCTAGAAGTGAAGATTGAACAGAGCTCTGGATAGTGTAACTGGTAACACATCATCACAGTATGCAGGATTTGAGGATTTGAGTCACGCCCTGGGCCTATTCTAAATTAAAATTAAATAATTTATAATTATTAAAGTATTTTATTAAACTACAATTATTAAAATGCTTTGACCAAAGACGATGGCCTAACTGTCTACTTTTAGTTAAATTATCGTTTATTTAATTATCAAAATAGTCTTAAAATAGCATGATAATTCAGTAGATAATTGGGTATGTTTGCTATTATTTCTTTAAGAATTGTGGTTTAAAGATTTTGTCTTTAACAAAACTAATTACTATACTTTTTTTTCTATTTTATCTTTATAAGACTACTAGCAGACCCCGCCACACGTTGTTGTGGCTCAGAATGTATCTATTATAAATGTATAACACTTCCCCCGTGGGGGGAATTTTTCGAAAAATCCCTTCTTAGTGTACATTTTTTTGACGTACCCTATTAAAACGCAATCAAAAACGCAAAAAACCGCATCTAAAATAGTATAAATAGCAGCAGAGTTCTTTATGGTAAGCCTTAATCCTGTCCATCTCCTCCCAGTGGGGGGAAATTTCGACATGTATATTATATAAAAACACGTGCGTATTCGAATGCAGCGTTATGTCAGAATTTCAAAGGAATTGGTAGGAACAAACGAACATTACATTTTTATTTATAGATAGATAGAAGATGATATGCTTTAGTTCATTTTCACAGAAAAGCATAATGCCTCACAGAAAAGCAAACTTAGGGCGTCGTACTCATAGCGCCATCTGTTGGACATAAAAGCCTTAACCTAGATTATATCTTTTAATTTATATGAATGCTTAACGGAATAATATACAGCCTATGTCCACCCTGAAGTTCCATTCTAAATATTGGTGAAGAATTTTTGAAATTGGATGAGTAGTTTCGGAGATTACCCGCTACATACAAACTTACTTACAAACATTACCTCTTTATAATATTAGTATAGATTAGATAATTTGTAGCTGTGAAGTGTACAATATTATTGCACAAAATTTTAAATAAATCTACTCAATGCTGATCTATATCGTTATCCTTCAAATGAGTATAAGAGCATAATGAATATAAGAATAAGCAATGTCCATACCAATTGTATGGTCCAAATACATTAATGGTACTAGTACATGGTCTAATCAATCTAATAAATTGAAAATATTGTTTTCTTTAAATAAACATATGGGATAACATATTCATAATATGAAATCAAGATACCAGACTCCCCCATATCCAAACTAATGTGGGCAGGAGTGATCTGGATATTAGAAAAATCTGGGTAAGTGTTGTGTCTGTAAAATAAACAATTACTTGTTAATGTATATAATTAACTTTATAATAATACAAACGTAACTTTGTACCTCCAAGTGTTACAACAGCTAACGCACGGATGAGTGGAGACAAAGGAACACAACAAAGGTCAGAGGTGCAGGGTCACCTAACTAGGTCAAGGGAAAATTTGGTGTGGGTTATCCTCTGGAGGTTAATCCTCTGGAGGCTATCCTCTGGAGGTTATCCTCTGGAGGTTACATAACAATAAGAGAGAGTAATAATTTTTAAATAAGGCTACTGTATGCATAAAGAAATGTTTATTTTGACTTTTGATGCTTATTTTTGACAATTAAAATTATAATCAATTTAGAAAATATTGTGTTAAAGTTATTTATTTTGTTCTTCTTGATTTGTTGACAAGCTACATCATGCCAATGTTTCACCATTATCACATCAGTGGTGATTGATGCACTGTGCTCTTCTATAAACTTCAAGATAACCTAATAAAAATATTTTAAATGTATACACTGCAGTGTGAAGAGGTAAGATTCAGAGTAGTGTACAATATTTTTGAAAATTTTTGGTTGCCTTTGATCAGTCCAGATATAGGAGGGCCAGATGTGGAAGAATCTACTGTAATTAAAATAAAAGAAAAAGCACAAGTAGTACACTCAACTAAAACTTAAAATTTAAAAAGATTATTTTTAATTAAACAGTTCTAGTAGTATATAAAATAAAATATTGATTACAAAAAGTTTTATTGTTTTAATCAATAACATTTTATTTTATATATCATATTTTTTCATTAATAATAATTACAAATATACTGTAAATAAATTTCATATAAAAATTTATTTTTATTATTATATCTATCTAGGCTTTACTTCATTAACTGAAAAATATACACAAATTGGAACTACTGGAATTGAAGAGTTGACAGAAACATTGAATAACTATATTGGTCCTGTTGTTGCTAGTAAGTTGTTTTATGAACATTTGTAGTATTTAACTAATTTTAAAAGAAAATTTAATGCAATAATATATTAAAGTATAAACAGAAATATATTTCCATCAAAATCAATTTGGCTCAAAATTAAATTAACAGTGCTGAAAGTTGTCTTGAAATGATACTAAGAAATATATTATTTCAGAATTAAAAAAAATTTTTAATTAAAATTTTTATTTAAAGTAATAAATTATTCTACAGGTGATTATATAAGTAGATTTAAATTAAATTGATAGGATTTATTATGTTAAATAAATAATTTATTATAAAATTAAATAATGTTCAACAAGTAAAAATAATATTGAAATATCTTTTAAATCAATTTTCTGTAATCAGTTTTTATTTATGATAGTTGTTTTCAAATAGATTTAATATTAAAATTTAAGTTAATTATATTTATTAATAATTAAGATATATTGAACTGATTGATATGAATATAAATTGCAAAATTCAGTTGAAATATTCTGAGTAAGAACCATGGCTGCGGAGTCGGAGTCAGAGTCATGGAGTTTTGGTGTTTTAGTCGGAGTTGGAGTCGTCAAAAAATCCGCTGGCTCTGACTCCCTTTTACTTACCAACTTGTTATGTATATGAAATGGAGTCGGAATCAGAGTCGGAGTCAGATGGTAAGGAAATGTCGAAGTTGGAGTTGGAGTCGGTAGATTTTTACGCAACTCCACAGCCCTGGTAAGAACTTAACATAACTAAAACCTTAAACTGTAATTGTAAAAATAAATGTAAAACATTGCAATTTACTATTATTATTTTTTATATTATGAGTAAAGCATTTAAATTAAATTGTGTTATTAAAGAACTTTTATAATTTAAGGTAATAAATTTAAAAAAATCTTTTCCACTAACCGACTTTTCTCTCTAAAATGCATTTTATAGAAATGTGTTACTTAATATTCATTTAATATAACTTAATATACCTGAACTATTCTATACCAACATATTAAGCAGAGAATTATTATGATTATATTTATATTAAACAAATGGCACATCAGCTAAATATTCCCAAAAAATTGTATAGTTTAAATAATGAAACTAGACAAGTTATTAAGTATCCACTATATTGATTTATGCACTTTGTTAGTAAAAGTTTATCAATTGCTGTCATATTAAAGGAATACTGTATTAATTTAAACTTAACTGTACAAATCAGTTCATTCAGTATTAATAATTGAATGTTTACAATTTAAAATAAATTTGCAAATTTTTTTATTTTAGGAATAATTGCTGCCAAAGGAGATGTATTTAAATTTGCAGGTCTGTAAACATTGTTGTATAGTTTATTTTTTGTTTTAGTTAAGTTGTTTCATATTTTTAAGTTTACAGGTATACCTCGCCTTACGTCGGTAATTGGTTCCAGGAGAGGCGACTTAAGTTGAAAAATGACATAAGTCGAATTTACTCGTCACTAGGCTAAACCACAAATAACCGTTCCCAGTTCTGTATTTTATTTATAAATGCATTTTTAATATATGGTTAATAAGAATCTATTTTAAGCTTACAAACAAATAAATTTTAGTTTTTAATATAGTGCAGAAAAAAATCTAAATTTACAAATTCATGTATGTACAGTACATACTTGTAAATGTACATGTTTACAATTTGGCGATGTTTACAGTACATCGCAGACACTTTATTTGTGAATGTGGTTTGCTCTAAGACATTATAAAATAAGATGATTTTGTAAGGTTAAATAACAAATACAGTTATTAAAATTATCTTGCAACAGTAGAAAATAAACTAATTTATATTAAATTTACCAATATCGAGTGGCGCTGACAATGATGACAAACGGGAAAATATTGGAACTACCGTGGAAAACACGAATATTGAGCACTTAAAGACCACTAAATAAGACGACAATACAGAAACACAGATGTTTTCATGTTTCGTTCTCTATGATTTATGATGATTATATTACCAACATTTACTGTAAATGTACATATTTTTAATATGATTTTATGTGCTATAATGCTTTTCTAGTGATATTACGACTCCAATATTTGTGGCGGATGGAAGTAAAGTTGAATGAAATGACTTAAACTAGATTTTTATTTTTCCATATATTTTTTGACAAACAATGTATAATCGAGAACAATGTAACTCAAGGTATACCTGTAATAATATGTACTTTTATTTCAATTGAATTTATTTTTTTACTTTTGCTATGACTAATAGAATTAAGATAATTTTTATATGAAAAAATATATGTTATTGTGATATAATAATCAGATCTTTAAACTACATACATTGATAAAAAGTTACATAGCTACAGAATTGTCTGATTACTCCAAAATTTGGCATATAGCCTGTCTCAGATAGGTAAGTGAATGATTACAGTTGTGGTCTGGTTGTATGCTAGGTGATGCCATCTGTGGAAACTCGTAAGACTTATTGGTCTCACTAATTGTGAGTGTAGGTGGTTCACCACGTGGGGAAGAGAGACAAAGAAACCAGTTTGTAATAAGTTTATAGAAATATGACCAAATACATATATTTTCATACAATTATTATGATGGTTCACAAGATACAATTATAATGACGGTTCACAAGATACAATTTTTTTCACACACAAAAAAAATTCTCACTGTTACAATTCTATAGTCCTAGCTGTTACACTCGTTGTAATCCAATCTAATTCAGGAACACACCAAAAAAAAACAAGTCCACAGTAGAAGGAGCACCTACGTGTTCACTGACTCCTCTATTGATCCACGAGGTAAGAAGAATAATCCCCTATCCGATCCATGGCCTTAAATACCTCCTTACACCTTCCCCAAGTTGCCACCCCTTTTTCCCCACGGCTGAAAAGTAGCCAAAAAAGCAAAAAAAACTATACGACACGTATAAGGCAGAGGGCTGCAATCACACACATCAAACTGCCTTAAAATTGATAACCCAGTATCCTATATCAGTGTTCAGAATTTTCCATGTACTTGTTATTTTGAGATGTTTTAATACCAGGAATGCCTGTATGATGCAATCAAAGACATTATGCACAGATGCTTGAGTTTGAAAAAGACCTCATCATTGGGCTGAGAGAAGCAGGGTGACCATTTTACCAAATTGCCTGTCATTGGGGCCATTCTGAGCTGTTTGTTAGGATGTGTTAGTGCAGTGGCTACATAGTGGCAGTGGATATATCAGAGTTTGGTTAATGTCCAGGGTCGTAGACCATCATGGCGGCTCTTCCTGTTTTAGCCTCGAAACCGGACCACTTTGGAGACGACGTGTCACGTGACAACGCGAGCGAATGGTAGCGGCTGCTGCGCCGCGGCAGCGCCAACGCTGATTCCAGCAAACAAAAGCAAACAGTGGGGACGCACGTTCTAACCTAACCTAACCTATTCTAATAATATAAACGGTAATAATTATGATAATTTATTAGAATAGGTTAGGTTAGGTTAGAACGTGCGTCCCCACTGTTTGCTTTCTTGTCTTTGCTGGAATCGGCGATCAGCCGCCATGAGTGTACGTATCTGGACTTTAACCAAAATAACAAAATAACATGTTTTTTTTTTTTACTCACCTTTGTCCGCACTCATTCGCCGACTCTGGCATGACGCGCAGGCGCTTGCGTCGTCATGTCACACGTCGCGCAGGCGCTCGCGTCGTCACGTCACACGTCGTCTCCAAAGCGGTCCGGTTTCGAGGCTAAAACAGGAAGAGCCGCCATGATGGTCTATGACCCTAGACATTAACCCAGAGTTTACACATACAGTGAGCAGACTCTAGACCCTCTAGCAAGACCACCTGGAGAGATGACTGTCTGTTGTGGAACAAGCATGAATATCTGCAGTGGCATCTTTGTCCATTATCCAGAGACAGATGGAAATCTCATTACAGAATTCTGTATCTTTTTATACCATTGGTAGATAACTAGCGAGGAGGTAAATTTTCATACACAGTGACCATTATCACTGCAAAATTGTTGGCTTTGTTTTTATTAGTGCCATGAGAACCGTGAATTGCTGTGAGGTTGCCAATCCACACATAATAACAGGATATCTGAGCAGTTCTGAATCATATGTGGGAGCGTTAGGCACAGAACTAACTCTCCAGTTACATAAATTTCATTCCAATTTATTGTAACTTAAAAATATAGCTTACTACAACAATATTCTTTGATCTGTCAATGGAGACTAAATCTTCAGGTTCCCTTTTCTTACTGAGAGAGAGAGTGTCCTAAGAGAAAGGTCCCTCAATGTTCCTTTGGGAGTCAATAGCCCCGCGGCAAAGTTGTCAGGAAGTCTGTAGAGGAGATTTTTAGTCCTGTTTTGAGTTGGGGTGAAGATAATTCTTCCAAGGAAAATGTGGCACAATGGGAAGCAATAGACAGAAGCTCCTGTGTTCTAGAAATTCCGATTTTTTGGATCCCAGATCAACCATTCCAATTGGTTGTTCTTACTCATCTCCACTTTTTAATTGGTCCTCACTCATTACTAAGTGTAATGAGATTGGAACCTAGATCGCTGGATGAGTCAAAATTGTTTGTCAATTCGATCCCAATAAAAGATAGTTGATCTTAGGACTTACATTATTTTATTGTTAAAATAAGACAAGTACTCTTTTTTTTTTTTTTAATTCAATTCAAACATATCCTTTTATGGACATGAAATTTCTACCTTATAACATTAATAGTTTTATAAGATTATTTTACAAATTTTTTTACATTTTTGTGTGACTCCAGTTCACTTCCAGAGCCTCACACTGCTATGGACTGGTAATGTATTGTCTTTAGCAACAAATCTTGATTCTGTTTGGAAATGGATGACTGAAACTGAAATGGATGCAGAAACAGTACTAGGATTATACAGCCAAATTTATAATATTGTAATAAAAATAATTATGAAGTATTATATGTACTTTCTTTATACATAGAATGCAATTTTAGTTAATTTACTTTGTTTAGGTAAATTGTAGAAGAATCGAAAATTAGATTTGCACATTTTTCAAGATGTCAAATTCTTTTAAATTTAATTCTGTAAAATTATGAAATACTATATGATAAATTAATAATCACTTCAACTGGATAAATATAACTTAAACTACAAAAATGTTTTTATTGGATTTTAGTTTATGATTTAAGTTGCTGTATGATAGTAAACTGAATTGTTTGCAATTACATAATTTAAAGTAAATGTGCAGATGAATTATAATTTTAAGAGTATAAAATGGTGATTTAAAAAACTGGTCTTATATGCAAGTTACATTAGAAGAGACCATATTTGTATAGCAAAGATATTTTGCTATCTCTTATTAATGCTCTCAAAATAATGCTGAGAAAATAGACTTGTATTTAACTGATAATATTAATGGCTGTTGATTAATTTAAAATTCTTTCTCACTAATACCTGAATGTCCTGTTTCTTAATATCCAAAGATGGACAATGGATGGCCAAGCTGTTAAGGTATTCAGACTGGTATCACTCTGGGAATGTGAGAATGAATCTGGACAGATTAAAAAATCTCAGGAATTTTATGGGGTAGTCCAATCTGGATATGTCAGTCATTGCGAGTCTGACTGAAGTCCACTCTGAACTCAATTGAGGATTCAAGCATGTTCTCAAGAAAGAGGTGCAAAAACATAAACCCTGAACAAAAGATCAGCTAAAGACAGCACTTCAAAAAACATAGGCCAGCATTCCATAAACCTTTGTTGTGCCTATATTATATTGATGCCATGAGTTTATGAGTGTCACAAAATTGGTGATATTCAAATGTCAGGACTTATCATATGTTGGATGAAGGAAAGTGATGTAAAATAGCTACAGTGACAAACAAACCTGTTTATTTATACTAAGTCTTACAATGTAGAGTGTCTTCTCTTCTGGTGGCTCTGGACTGTTCAATTGTTGACCCTAGGCAGTCAGTCGATGCTCGATGGTGTGAGAGGTTGTGACGAAGGGTGATAGCCCAAAGTTCAATAAGGATGGTGTCCACTTGTGGTGGCAGGGAAAAGTCTGGACAGTTGACTATAGTTGTCAGCCGGGAAAGTCTGGACAGTAGTTGACACTATCAGAGGCTGGAAGAAATCTCTACAGTTAACTTCACTAGGAAAGCAGGGAAAAAGTCTGTCTTTGTCCTCACTTCCTCAGCAGTTTACTTACAAATATAATCAAACACCAAACAATATGCTGAGCTTATTATTTATTTACTGTTCAAACGTTTTCAGCCTACTTCTAATAGGCCATCCTCAAGACATTACCGTTCTACAATCAAATACAAAACTTTCGAATAAATTTTAAATTTAAACTTTTAACATATTTTTAAACATCTTTACAATAAATTGTAAACTATTAAATACTTAAATAAAAAATTTTTAACATTAAATAATAAATATATATAAAATTATTATAACAAAAAATAAAAAATAAAAAACAAAAATATACATTAAACTAGTAAAATATATCCTCCATAAGTTTACGGGTTTTTAATTCCCATTTCTTTTTCTAACAAGTATTTCCATGCCGTTGGCAGAATATTAGCATCCTTTGCGTTTAAGCAATTATTATTTATTTTACTCTTATATATCTGCATTTTTTCTATGCCAAACGCAATAGTTGCTTAAACGCAAAGGATGCTAGACTATTGCATTTGGCATAGAAAAAATGAAGATATATAAGAGTAAAATAAATAATAATTGCTTAAACGCAAAGGATGCTAATGCTCTGCCAATGGCATGGAAATACTTGTTAGAAAAAGAAATGGGAATTAAAAACCCGTAAACTTATGGAGGATATATTTTACTAGTTTAATGTATATTTTTGTTTTTTATTTTTTATTTTTTGTTATAATAATTTTATATATATTTATTATTTAATGTTAAAAATTTTTTATTTAAGTATTTAATAGTTTACAATTTATTGTAAAGATGTTTAAAAATATGTTAAAAGTTTAAATTTAAAATTTATTCGAAAGTTTTGTATTTGATTGTAGAACGGTAATGTCTTGAGGATGGCCTATTAGAAGTAGGCTGAAAACGTTTGAACAGTAAATAAATAATAAGCTCAGCAAATTGTTTGGTGTTTGATTATATCTGTTTTTGTCCTTTAAATCCAGGTTTTTGAAAGATACTCTTCCCCAGATCTCTAGCCTTTGATTGGCCGGTTTCCTGTCTCTAAGCAGATGACAGACCATTTCGGTCTACCAAAGGTTTAATTCAACACTGTTTTAATCCGATTGAGGAAAATTAATTGCACCTTGAAACTCCTGCTCGTATTTAATTGTTTTGAATTCTTATAAGTCTGACACATAATATCATTGCTGCATCTCCTTTTAATTAAGGCTATTTAAAACTGTTTTTTCCTCTCAATTAATAATTTTATTATTTCCCAATTTTATTTAGGTTTTTCTTCCAATTTTTACGAGTGTTAGAATCAAAGCCCGATCCCTTGATTTGACACCTTTATGATATTTTTAACACGGAAGTATCACTCGGGCCTCACAAGTTGTTGACATATGTGCTGTAAAAGGAGGACCCATGAAGTGGTGATTGTATGTGAATGAAGAGTGCATGTAAATTTATTGCCTTCATATTTTCAACAGAACAATATTTCCAGGCATATATTGAGATGCCTATTATGATGTACTAATTATTGTTATATAGCATAGATTAAGTGGAATACTTTGTTTAATAAAAAGTTTTCTTACAAATTACAAATGATTTTACATTTCTTAGTGTTTATGACTAGAGCTCATGAATATATATACATTTACTGCCATAGGTAAAGTACATCAATATTTTTTAAAACAACAAATTTATTAATAAAATCACTTTTTAGATTGAATTTTTTTACTTTGCAATGCTATTTATACTATGTGTGCTGTATTAGTACATTCATTGATGCTATTTAGACTTTAGAGTAGTCATGAGAAATCTATAGCCTGAAGTCCTAATATGCAGCTCCTAGGACTTTGGCAACATAATTTTATTTTCCTGTTTTCTGGCTTGTGCCATTAGCAATATTAATTAAGCTGATATTTATCAAAGAAACCATTTGGACTAAATTTGATCTGTGAAAAGACAAGAATAAACTATGTATTAGTAGTTTGCATATTATTAACATATATTATTTTAGAACCTAGTGTGCTGGTAATTATGGAGTATGTTGATACTTGGCAGACTGCCACTCCATAAGAAAAAATGTATGCAGCCCATCAGAAGAATACAAAGTTTCCTTGATGCTCACATGTAGAAAATATTGCCCATCACTGCTTTAGAGAATTAAGTATATTATTATATTAATATATAAAGCATAGATAATATTTATAATAATATAAATATCTAACTGAAAAGTAGTACAGTACCAAGCCACCTGATGTAGAAATCAAACACATAAACAAGGATACAAAATTTTCTGAACATGATCCAAGCATGATTGTGAAGAATAAACTTGTTTTGTGAATATGTGTGTATTAGAGTTTTAAATAGAATAATAATAGGAGAAAATTTTTTATTTGAATGATAACAAATTTAAAACTTAAAAATTAAGCACAATATTTTTACAGTGCATTAAATTTTGTAGATCACAAATGCTTTCTACCTAGTTCATAGGCTTTCTTTAGATGTATATCTCAGAATTGCTTATTAACTGAGTTTAAAACATTTGCAATAAAAAAGAATTTTACACAAACAGCTAAAGTTATTGTGATCATTTATTTTTTATACTGCAGTAATTTATTCTGTTAAAAATTAATGCACTTACAGAAAAATTTTCATTGCATTACATATTAATTTCTAGGAGATGCTATTTTATGTTTATGGCCAGTAAAAAAAGAAAAGAAAATACCATCTGTATTGAGAACAGTAGTTAACTGTGCTCTTAACATTCAAGAAACTTATGGAATTCTTACAACAAGTCTTGATGTGAAATTACGCATTAAATTTGGTATAGTTCATTTTTTTCTAATTTGTTACTTATTTTCTATTATAAGACACTTAAATAAAGTTACTTTATAAATATTAAAAGTACTTTAGTTGAATGTCTTGTGTTATTTAATGTAAAATTTATAGTAGTACTATAGACACTATTCAATACTTTAACTACAGTGGTATGTTGTGTTTTGAATGCTTTAGAATTAGAATGCTAAATTTTACAAAAATTCACCTCAGATTTTGAACAATGCCTTATAGTTTGAACTGTACATGCAGTGAAAAATGCAATCCGTTTTGTGTCCAAGTCATCTCCCACTCTCACTCTTGAATTACACTTGTATGTTTTTTTGCTTTTTTCACTTTATTTTTAGTGTATTTGATTATGTATATTGTTTGTTATTTGTTGATTTTTGACAATTTCTTTCTACAATTTTTCTTTGTGGATAGCTTTTGGATACTTTGTATGTTTTGTATCCTTTAGTTTGAAATTTCTTGAACAGAACTTTTTTAATGTACAAAGTTCAGGAACATCTTTCCCATATGTATAATGAATTATTTTTATTGTTTGTATGATGTTTTGGGTTCTTGACCAAATAAACACAGATCTTAAAAGGTAAAATAAATTTATTTGCAGTTTAGGTACAAAGACCATACCAGTGTTTCTCAACCTCTAACGAATCATCGCCCCCTTCAACATAGTATTGCCCCCTTCAATAAAAACGTTACGTAATATTGCCCCCTTCACTTCAAAATCCAATGCCGAGGGCCAAGGCTAACACCAAATTCATACTGCATTGAATAGACTAGTGACTAGTATAATGTTATTTGTTTAATTATTGTACATTATAATGAATAAAATATCTAATTATTCTTAATATAATGTTTTACTAAATTGCCCAGAAAATTGTTTTTCGCCCCCAAAATATAAGTTGTTACTAATCGCCTCCTCAACATGGAAAAACGCCCACATGGGGCAATATCGCCCCCGTTGAGAAACAATGTGTTAGGCTCAAAGACCAAAATCACTTATTCAGTGAAAAAAATGACCACAACGCGTTGTGGTCGTTTCAAAATGGCCACAAAGAGAAATTCATGTCATGGCAGTTGTAAAAATGGCCACAACGTGTTGTGGCTAACTCAAAATGACCACAAAGTGAAATTCGTATTGTGGCTTTCATGATATTTGACCACTACGCATTGTGGTGATAAAGAAAAGCCATAACACGATCCGAATGTTAGTTGATGCAACCATGATATGAAGGATAGGTTGTAACTTGTCNAAATTCATACTGCATTGAATAGACTAGTGACTAGTATAATGTTATTTGTTTAATTATTGTACATTATAATGAATAAAATATCTAATTATTCTTAATATAATGTTTTACTATATCGCCCAGAAAATTGTTTTTTGCCTCCCCCCCAAAATATAAGTTGTTACTAATCACCCCCTTAAAATGGAAAAACGCCCACATGGGGGCGATATCGCCCCCATTGAGAAACACTGCTCTAGAGGGAGACAATAGACTAAATCTGGGGGGACACTAAAGTGTTGCCAGTTGGCCACAATGTTATATCCTTTGCAAAACTCATAAAGCATAATATGTCTGATATGCTTTTTATCTAGAGGTATTTAAACTTGATGTTATTCAAACAAAATGTGAAAAAATAAGTTTAAAATAAGCTTTTAAACAAAGAACACAATTTCATATTAGCAATAATTGAATGCTATAGTTAAATCCATTATAGTTAAATCACACCTCTACGTTAAGGAACAGCAGCTGTTAGTAATATGCAAAACTTTCTCTTGAACACAATATAACCATTACTTATTAACTATGGCATTCAAGAAGAGTGTGGAAGCATGAAGTCTAAGAGAAAGGTTATAATATTGATGATTGAAATGAAAAAGATATGGTGACCATGTTTAAGATGTCGATGTCCATGGTATGTGACTAGTTAATGCAATTTTTATTTTATTATACTGTATTTACATATTTGATTACATATTGTTTTCATGTTTAAATTTATTATTAGAGCTTTTTTATAATGAAAATAATTCCATTGTATGTAAGAACAGGTTATTATTCAAGCATTTAACTGTGTTATTTTTACCTTAAACTATGTCTATTTGCTGTTTTAAATTTATCAAAATGGGTATTGTTTAAGGTCTGGGAATGGATTAATTCACTTTCAATGATTTATTATGTGAAAAATTGCTTTGACTTTGAACTACAAGGCATCACTGTTTTTTTTAAATAATCTATTAGAATAATAAATAAATAATTTTATCATAGTTTTACAAATATTTTCAATTTGTTGAATAATTAAATGCATAATATAAATTTATATTTATAGTTATTTAGTTAAAATTAGATTTTATCACTTTTAATATTAAGTAAGTTGAACTCTCCTTTTTGATGTTTGTAAGCAATAAAGCTGTTAACCCAATAACATTTAAAAAGATAAAAAACAAGGTAAGCGGCCAACGGTTACTGGTTCTTGCTACCGAGTATCTTGCCATATACTCATCAACTACATCAACTTCCCATTTTGTGGAGTTATAAAATGTAAAAATGAATGACTTTTTATCATTTCCTGATTCTGGATCAATGTCATTGGTGCTATGCATTGTAGAGAGGAGTGGAATAACTTTATTTTTTCTGGGACTGTATGGTACTAAAGTCATTCTGTCTATAAAAGTAAATACACTTGAGTCTACTGAGAGAAGTCTTGTGTTTGTAAACTCAGACAGGATCTCTCTTGTTTTTTTGTAAGATTCCAACTAATGTCAACTTGTGATCCTTTAGAAGACATTCAACTAACAGTATAGAAATGTACCAATTATCAGTGGTCACATTCCTTTTAGTACCACTTATTGCTTGAAGAAGTCTAGATACTACAACTAGTCCTAAATTTTTTACTCTAAAAGGACCCTCTGGCTGCTGCCCCACATGTACTTCCATGTTCATGGTCTAAAAAGTCTTTGCACAAATCATGACTAATATCCCAATTCCATACTTCACTGGTTTATTTTTTATGTATTGCCTAAAACTGTAATTACCTCTGAATGATTTGAGCATCTTGTCAATTGTGAAGAATTCACATAGAGCAATGTTAGTTTTACACTTTTCCACAAGTTAGGCCATACATTACATATTGGAGTGAGCTTGTTAAAGTTTTGTCACTGTATCCTAATTTCAGCATCATTGAACCTTACAGATTTAATAAGAAACATAAACCTTCATATATTCGTGAAGTTACGAAAAAATTCCATCCCAGTTCCATCATTTGACCACAAATAATATAAGTTCAAGAGCATAGCTCTAAGATATCATGACATGTAGAGAAAATCAATAAAAGCCTCCATTTCACTCCTTAATGTATCACATGCATCTCATTCTCTGGTATAGTTTGAATGTATTTTTTTTATATATGTTGTTTTGTATATTTCATAATGTCATCCAAAATTTCATTTGTAAAAAATAGCCTCTAGGCAGCAACAGGTGAATTCACATCTTTCTGTGCTTTCACACCTAGAAGGCATCTAACTAAATTGTGATCAGCTGTTCATCTATTATGTAAAAGACAGTGAATTCCCTATTTAGTTTTTCCATCCCTTTCTATATATTCAATCTTTATTTCAAATTCTGCTTTATCATCTCCAGATTGCTCTAACACTGTATCCTGTTCCTATCTATTGTGGTCATAAGCACGTGGTGAGTTTGATCTAACAAAGAGAAACATAAGAAACATATATTACAATAAGAAACGTTCTTTATTTCACCCGTATTTATGCTTAACAGGATTCTTTCAGATTCCAACACTCCTCATTCGTGTACAAACAAATTTATCAGATATACAGGCAGAATCGTTAACACAAACCTTGCGACATAAAGGTCGACCGAAAACATTCACCGTGGTACAAAGAAGACTTATCTAAAAACTTAAAAACTACTTATACTAGAAAGAAAGAAAGGATAGAAAATAGGACAGGTAGATCTAAAGTGCTAGGCAAGAATGGGTACCCAAGATAGTTGACGATCTCGATGTGGTAGTGACCGAATTATATCTTTTTGGATGGTGGGAACAATGTAAGTGTAATTCAATCAAAAACTTTCTCATAACCTTCCAGAGGTCCATATATCAAGATACTCAGTTTCTCTCGATTTGCTAGTCTTAACTTTTCATCACTTTCTCTCTCCAGCCGATGCCAAAACTACCTGGAGAACACTTCAATGCATATTCTCTCTTCGATGTCCCAGCAAAAAGTGGACTTGCGTGTCTTTTCTTTTGTCCTCTGGGCTACCTCTTCCTTTTGCCCACTAACTAGGTCATCCACCACCTACATTTGGGAGAAGTTTCTAGGAAGTTATATACAAAAGAACCAAGAACAAAGAAGGAAGGAAGGGAAAATATATATACATATATTAAAGATATATACAAAATAAAAAAAATATAATGGTGTACCACCACACTATCTACATTATCCTCTAATCTTCTACATCAGAAAATAACTTATCAAGTGCTTCAATAGCGAGTTCATCAGCAAACAAACATCTTCAAATTGCACCTGGATTTTCTTTTTATTCTTTATCTCTACTCTTCTCTTCCACAATTTCTATTAGTCTCAAAATTCTTTCTTCTTTTCTATCCATTTAGCTCAAGACAACAATCACTAAAAACTACAAATATAAATAATACTAATATAAAATAACAAAACGTTAAGTTTACTGTAAAACAAGCATATGCGTTAGGTTGCGCACAGCTGAAAACACCATGTTAAGAGAAAGCAGTTTACTCTTTACTCAGCAACTAAAAAATGTCAGTTACAGAAACAGTATGAAAAGTCAGTGGACGGGTCAATAGAAAGGTATTGGAGTGGGAGTGTACACTATTCAGGTTTATGAAAACAACAACAAAAAACAAACATGGTGAGAAAAACTGGCACATTTCACGATGGGTTAAACAACCAAAATCTGTACTTTTAAATAATACAGTCTATTTACAGAA